AGAGAGAGAGAGAGAGAGAGAGAGAGAGAGAGAGAGAGAGAACAGATTGCAGAAGAGGACGTGGAATTGAGAGGTGTAGTGGAAGGAGTTGGAGGGATAGGGAAGGGGTGGAAATAACATAAATACAGTACACATATGTGAAACTCCCCCCAAATAAAAATAGTAATAATAACTGCAATCTATTGAGATTGTAGGTATTTTCATTCCCTTGCTAATTTCTCTCTTCCAAAACTGTTTCCATTAACAAAATCACACCCATATGTACTCCAATAATTACAAGCCTTTCTGTAGCATTTATTCTGTCCTTGACATTATTCTAGACTCTTCACATATATTAACTGATTTTCTTCACAGCCTCCTTCATGAGATTGGTACTATGACTGCTCATATTTGACAGCTGAGAAATGTAGTCACCAAGGTGAAGCACCTTACAGATGTTAGCCCCATTCGGTAGCAACGCATTTCTTCCACTCTAGACTTTGTACTCTCCTGACCTCTATGCTGCTGCTAACTTTCTATATAAAGAGACTATTTTATATTATTTCCTGCCATCATACATCCAATAATTGGTCTAACAAATAAGCACAGAGACAATCAGGTATTTGGAGGGGAAAGATGCTCACAGCAGCAAAATTTGTAGTCAAAGGAGTGAAATTGAAAATAACCTAAATGTCTTTTAATGTGTGTATACATTGGAAATGATGATTTAGAAATAAGTTAAATGGCATGGGAAATACCATAAATGCCAAAGGGAATTGAGGCTATAAGCCATGTGACTCTAGGAACTGTATGATGTGGGATTAGAAAAGAAGTCAACATGCTGTTTCAACTTGAACCTTGGCATTCATGTTTTAGTTTTGCACCTTTAGGTGATATTTTAACCCTTCTTTACTCCAGTTTCTTTCTCAGAAAATGGGGTAATACAATTGGTATAGGGCTTAACAGTTACATAAGTACCTAATACTTAAAAGAGTGGTTGGCAAGTACTTATAAAAGAAAAAGGAAAGCATAGTAAGTAAACCCATAAATAATAGAACTGAATAGTACACACTCACCTGGCAGTTTCACAAGTATCTTTGGCAGTCTGGTATTTGTAATGTAACAACAACCCTGTTTTTTCTCACTGTACCTTGAAAATGCGTATAGAGTAAGATGTTGATCCTTGCAGAGCAGCCAGAGTCACAAGTCCCCTCTACACCTGCCCATTGTCTAATATGTATTCTATTTCCTCTTCTAAGTGGTACTAACATGACTTTTGTACCATTTTTTAATGTTATAGTCCTTTTATTGCTACATTTTTCTGAGGTATACTGGGATTTTTGGTAATTGTTGTCTTCACTCTGAAACTTGAACCCAAAGTCCTACCTGTCCTGAATGTGACTGCTACTACTGACCTATATACCAGACTCTGATGTGCTATTGTGATTCATGGATAAATTAAGTGATGGTCAACTCAGGGTAATTAGCATACCCCAAATATTGAACTTTCACTATTTTTTTCTGGCAAGTTAATTCAAAATTGTATTCTCTAAGTATTTTGAAATATATGAAAATTATTGTTAATTATATTCATGATTCTCTGCAATATAAAATTAGAGTTTATTCTTCCAATTGAAGCATTATATCCATTTTTCCACCTCTTCCAATCTCTGGCAGCTGCTAATCTACTCTTAACTTCTATGAGATAAAGATTTGCAGATTCCATACAAGTGAGATCATTGTTTCACTTAAGATAGTGTCCTCCCAGGAAGGAGAAGGGAACTGGGATGGTCATGTAAATCAATCTTGTTTCTAATTCAAATTTAAAAAAATGATAAAAAAAGATAGTGTCCTCCAATTTCATCTGTGTGGGTGTTGCATTAGAACACACACACACACACACACACACACACACACACACACACACACACACACACCACATGAGATAGTATGTGATTTCTTTTTCCAATATTCTATTGGTAGACATTTCTTGCAGCACTAGTCACAGTAGTTTTCTAAAGACCATTACTTGTGCCATTCATATAATGTAGAATTGGGTTTTCTGGAAAGTGTTCATAGCTTCCTTCTATTTCTCTCACCCTATCCTCTTTCTCAGGTCTCCTATGTGAAAGCGATTGACATCTGGATGGCAGTGTGCCTTCTGTTTGTGTTTGCTGCTTTACTGGAATATGCAGCAGTGAACTTTGTCTCCAGGCAACATAAGGAGTTCCTTCGTCTCCGGAGACGACAGAAAAGGCAGAATAAGGTAGGGTTATCTCTCAGTACAGAATCACAAAGACCTTAAGGTGGCTAACCAAACTATGTAACTCAAAATAAAAACACATAATGATTAAGAAAATGAACTTAATTTTTTTATTCTGGCTTTTATTCATTTATTTAGTTCATAAATAAAGTAATGCATAATTATTATACCGAATACAATATGTTCACAATGGCATGGCTAAATTAAACCAATTAACATGTTATATCGCTCATATTCATCATTTTTGTTTTGAGAATACTTAAAGTGTACTGTCTCACAACTTTTAAAATATAGCATATTGTTATCAACCATATTTATCATGCTCTCAGTAGACCTCACGACTTCACAGAGTTTATGCCTCTTGTCCAACTGCAGTTTTATATGCTTAAACCAATCCTTTCCCCATTGTCAAAAGTCCCATATTGAAGCCTAATAGCCATAATTCTGCTCTCTGTTCCCATAAGTTCATCATTTCTAGGTTACACATAAAATTGAAATTGTGTGACATTTGTCTTCCAGTGTGTCACTTATTTTTTGGGGGGAAGCATATAACTTTACTACTTACTAAAGATGAAATCAAATTTGCATGCACAGGTGAGCACTAACTGAAGCACCTTGGATTCATCATATTTGAGTTTCAATTAGCTTATATATATATATATATATATATATATATATATATATATATATATATAGAGAGAGAGAGAGCAATAATGGCGATATGTTATGCATCAATAACAGCAACAGCTTTTCCAGATTCTGTAGTCCTTTGAACAAAATTGTAGAGACATACAGCACACTCCATTTAAAAAAAAAAACAAACAAAAACAAAAAAACAAACAATCAACAACAACAAAAAAGTAAAATACAAAATCCCAGAAGACAGCGCAGTTCTGTTACTCTTGTGGTACTTGGCACCATTTTTTTTTAAATTACTTTCTCAGTCATCATCTGGGAGGAAACCATTCTGAGCAACACCATTAAAAGCAGCTCTGATAAAGCATGGTCACTACTGGGTATCATAAAGCAGGTCCACATATGAGTGAGTACATATCATGTTTGTCATTTTGTGATTGGGTTACCTCACTCAGAATGGTTTCTTCGAGTTCCATCCCCTGAAAAATTCAAAATTCCATTTTTTTTTTTTTTTTCTTCTGAGTAGTACTCCATTGTGTAAATGTACCTCATTTCTCCATCCATTCCTCAGTAGAGGGGCATCTAGGCTGCTTCCAGTTTCTGGCTATTACAAATAAGGCTGCTATGAAATGGTTGAACATATGTTCTTGTTAAATGAAAGTGCTTCTTTTGGGTATATGCCTAGGAGTGGAATTGCTGGATCTTGTGGTAGACTCATTCCCATTTTCTTGAGGAGTCGCCATACTGATTTCCAAAGTGGCTGT